TCCTATATATCGAAGTAGCCTCAACATTTCCCGCAAGTTCCATTATAAGGGTCCCTCCTTTAGTCCCTTGATGGTGCGTGGCACAGGCACGAAATCCTTGGAGCAATAGGGCCTACAAGGAGGGGCCCCCTTGCTGTGCCCACTGTAGTCAAGGGACTTCGAACCTAATTTAGGATCCTTTAGCTCAATCCGGGGCCCTTTTCACTCTGCTTCTGATTTGGGGGCACCCTCCTTGTATAAAACCCTAAACCTTAATCCCTGAAGTCTCTAAACCCTATCAGGGTTTAGGGTTGAGGGTTTAGGAATTAGGGTTGAGGGTTTAGGGTTCAGGGGGTGTATGGCAACCCTGAGCCCTATGAACCCGAAGCCCTAAGCACCCACCTCAAGCCGCAAGCGAGTCAACAGTAAGAGCAGCAACAGGGATTAGGGTTTAGGGTTTAGGGTTTAGGGTTTAGGGTTTAGGGTTTAGGGTTTAGGGTTTAGGGTTTAGGGTTTAGGGTCCCCCAGGATGTCTGTCAAACACTCGTTGGGCCCTGGGGTTTACGGTTTAAGGTGATTAAGGTGTAGGAAATTGTCTGTTGTTGGGTTTAAGAGGATCATATTCAGGAAGCAGAAAGGAGCTTTTTAAGGGGCCGTCTTTGAAACATTGATGGCTACCCATAAAGTTCCTGTTGGCGAGGAATGGCCGGTATGGTTTAGGCTTTAGGTTAGGGTTTCGGGCCATGGTTTAGGTTTTAGGGTTTTAGGGTTTTAGGGTTTTAGGGTTTTAGGGTTTTAGGGTTTTAGGGTTTTAGGGTTTTAGGGTTTTAGGGTTTTAGGGTTTTAGGGTTTTAGGGTTTTAGGGTTTTAGGGTTTTAGGGTTTTAGGGTTTTAGGGTTTTAGGGTTTAGGGTAGGGTTTAGGGTTTAGAGTTTAGGGTTTCGGGTTTAGGGTTAAGGGTTTAGGTTTTCGCAGTGCCAGGAATAGAAGGATTATGGTTTTCTGCGTGGTGCCCGTATGCATGCCATGCGTGGGCTGAGCTCTGTATGAAGCCTCTGCAAGGGTGCTGAGTGCTGGCATGAAGCAGTTTCCAAGTTCAAAAGGTTTTCGTCACATGTTACTCTGGGTCCACAAGTCTCTGTAGTGCTTTGCTGCAACCTTAAATCCTTAGCCTTTTTGGGTTGATTGGGTTTCTGAATAAGGCAGCTTAAATTTTAACGTAGCCAGCAACGTTGATCACAGCCTACGCGAGCATGACGACTATTCTTGGAGACTTCTAGGACGGAGCACCAGGAAGCCTGGCGCCCTAAACCCTAAACCCCAAACCCTAAACCCTAAACCCTAAAGCTGACACCGAGGCATACCGTTCAGAATCGAGGCGCCAAGGCCAGCCTGGTCCCTGGAAATTCTAGTCCAGATTCAGGGTTAAGGGTTTAGGGTTTAGGGTTTAGGTTTCAGGGTTCAGGGTTCAGGGTTCAGGGTTCGGGTTTTAGGATGTAGGCTTCAGGGTTTAGGGACCCTCAACCCTCAACTCTTAACTTTTAACTCTCAACCCTCAACCCTCAACCCTCAACCCTCAACCCTCAACCCTCAACCCTCAACCCTCAACCCTCAACCCTAAACCCTAAACCCTAAACCCTGCACCTGCCCGGGGGTCATGTTTTTCATTGGGAGGCTGTTGCGGTGCTGAAGGGTAGCCCGCGGAGCTCTTAAGTGCAAGACAGCATGTAGGGTGTAGGGTTTAGGGTTTATAGGGTTTATAGGGCTTATAGGGTTTAGGGTTTAGGGCTTATAGGGTTTATAGGGTTTATAGGGTTTATAGGGTTTATAGGGTTTATCGGGTTTATCGGGTTTATAGGGTTTAGGGGTTGTTGGCAAGGTGGGTCCCGGGTTCTTGGGATGATGCCGGCCTCCTTTTGGGTTTAGGTTTTTTTTGGCTCTTGGGTTTAGGGTGGGTTTAGTAGGGTTTAGGGTTTAGGGTTTAGGGCACCCTACATCCGCCCAAACCCCTGCACACTCCAAACCCCCACAGCCACAAAGCCCCCCCCAACACCCCTAGAGCGCAATGCCTTCTCAACCAACTAAACAGCAACAGCTCCCTTGGTAGGGGCTGTCTTGAACATACTGTGCTACTATCTGTGACTCAAACATCTCTGGCTCCTGTATGGTGAAGGGGGTAGGGTTTCTTCTTAGGGTTTTAAACCTAAACCCTTAATCCTATATCCTTATAAACATCTAGCAGAGCTTGGTTGTCTACGGGGTCCAGACACTTTGGCCCAAGCAACCCTAAGCCCTAAGCCCTAAGCCCTAAACCCTAAACCCTAAACCCTAAACCCTAAACCCTAAACCCTAAACCCTAAACCCTAAACCCTAACCCTCCCCCCCCCCCCCCCCGCCCCCCCAACTCTACGTTGAGCCGAGGCATCGCGGTTTCACACAACTTTGTGGATGCGAGCTGCGTGGATGCGGTCCTGAACTGCTTGGAGCAGGCCGGCTCTGACACCCGAAGCCCTACCTGGGACTCTATTTTCCTACAGCTACAGTCTATATCCCCCTTAGTTTTTTTTTTTTTTTTATTTTGTTTGTATAAACCCCAGAGGATATTAAACAAATTGTTTTTATTAAGGTTCTAAGGGGAGTATAGCAGTGTTCTAGTAGCTACCCCTTCAATCATTAGTAGTATTTAGTAGGCATAACCCAACGACCCCTTGGTTAGTAGGTAGAACCCAGAAAATCTGTAGGTAAAGAGAGTCCCACGTAAACCCTAAACTCTAAGCCCCACACCGGGGAGGGGGGGGGGGGGGCGTTGATCTCAATTTGGCCCCCCCCCAAGAGATCAGGGAAGACATCGCCAGACGCCCATACCTGAAGTTTGGGTCAACCTCCCCTGAAACCCTTAACACCCCATGAATCAACCTCCTAGAAAATTTTGGGTTTAAGGTTCCTGAACAGGCGCTCACGTTGCTGCTGGACCACGTGCGTGTGGAGGCAGTGGCAGGGCCGCGACCTTACCGTTCTTGGGCTTGAAGCGATCTGTTGGGGTTTAAGTTATTAAACAGTTGATGCAAACTGTTTTTGGGAGCGAAGGCTTTGGGAAGGGGCGGGGCTTAGGGTTCAGGGCTTTTAGGGCGTAGGGTTTTGGGTTTTGGGTTGGGATTCGCCGGACGGCATCATCTTCCGCGAGGTGTTTGTATGTGCTTGCGCATAATTGGGATCAGTGTTTAGGGTTTAGGGTTTAGGATCAGTGGCCCAGATGGCCCTAAACCCCAAACCCTAAACCCTAAACGAACCCCCACGGGGTATTGGGCGACTGCACTGGAGGTTACAGTCGTCCGGGGTGCAGGATCCCAATTTCGGGGCCCGCTTGTGCAGCGCATGGTTCCACTAGGGTTTAGCGTTTAGGGTATAGGGTATATAGGGTTTAGGGTTTAGGGTTTAGGGTTTAGGGTTTAGGGTTTAGGGTTTAGGGTTTAGGGTTTAGGGTTAGGGCGGGCGAAGTCTCAGGGAAAGGGTTTAGGGCGATCTGTTTTGTTTGAGATCTGGAAACCGAGGGCCCGCCATTTTTTTAGTGAGGCACTTGCTGTGTTTATGAAGATCGAATAACAGTCAGATCTCCCTGACTACTTTGTGTCATACCATACCACGACCCCCCAAGACGCACGAGAACTAGCCATAGAAACTCTTCTTAAAAACTCTCTAATCCCTCTCAGCCCTCTCACCCCTAAAACAGAAACTGCAGGGAACGCTTCGTCCAGCGATGCGGGTGCCAACAGAAACCCCAAAGCCCAAACCTTAAACCCCAAACCCTAAACCCTAAACGTTTGCCTTTCTTCGAGACCGACCTTTCAACCCCGCATTGCTGTGGCTAGTCGGGTGCCAAAAAAACCCCAAACCCTAAGCCCTAAACCCTACACCCCTAAACCCTAAGCTCCCTTAAATCCCACACCACAGGGCTCCGGGCGGGATTCTCGAGGTCACCTGGTGACCCACTTCCAGGTGGCACCCGTGGAACGGGAGCAGGGTGGGAGGTTTAGGGTTTAGGGTTTAGGGCTTCAGGGCTTTAGGGCTTTAGGGCTTTAGGGCTTTAGGGCTTTAGGGCTTTAGGGCTTTAGGCTTTAGGGTTTAGGGTTTAGGGTTTAGGGCGTCAGGGGTTAGGGTTTTCGGGTTTAAGGGGGTTTTGGGGCTTGGGGTTTTAGAATGGTTTTCGAGAGTTTTGTGTTGAGGGCTTGAGGCTTTCAGGGTTTAGGGTTCAGGGTTGAGGTTTTGGAGCTCTAGGGTTGAGGGTTTAGGGTTCAGGGGGGTTTTTGGTCGAGGGCTTGAGGGTGTCTAGGGTTGAGGGTTCGTAGGGTTTAGGGTTCAGGGTTGAGGGTCTAGGGTTTAGGGTTTAATCAGGATTTAGGGTTTAGGGCTTAGGGTGCTGACGCCATCACCCATGTTCACGCACCGGCGACGTAAAGTTGTGGAGCTTCAGTTCTTGGCATAGGTTTGAATGGGACTCCGCCGGCTCCGCCTTAGAGTGGGTAGCCGCAGAGCATCATCACCCTAAACCTTAAACCCTAAACCCTAAACCCTTTTGTTAAGGGCCGGCCAAGGCCATTCAATCCATTTCTTGGGCGGAAGGAATTATGTGCCACCCCGAAGTTGCTGCCAGGCTCTTTTCTACAAGGCCAGTTTCCACTTGTAGCTCAGCTGTGAGAGGGCGCAGAAATAGGTTTAGGGCTTAGGGTTTAGGGTTCAGGGAACCACATATGTATATATATATATATATTTTTTTTATTTACTTATTTATTCATTCGTTTGTTTTTTTAGAGGGATGAATTTGCAGTGTACCTATGTGGTGAGCACAAGACCCTTACCTCAAGCCTGCACCCCGCAGACAGTCGCGCCTCTGTTCGGGTATGCGGGGGGAAGCACACCCCAAATCCAGGACCATCGTGTTTGGTTTAGGTTTAGGGTTTCGGGCACAAGAGGCATCCCGATATCAGGAAATACACTTCGTAGAACCTCAGTACCGTCATCGCCATGGCCACATCTTCGGCCTCGCCCCCGCCGGGAGAAGCGAAGCCCGTGGTCTTCGTGCACAACCCAAGGTGCTCTTGGGGTGGGTGGAGGGGGGGTTTTGCCCCAAACTCTATCCCCTAAACCCTAAACCCTACACCCTAAACCTAGGGTTGTGGCAAGAATCTCTCTGCAGGGTTGCGCCTACGGATCCACCCACACCCCCATGCACCCCACGCCCAACCCCACCCCCACCCCCACCCCGGCCCCCACCCCCACCCCCACGCCCAGCCCCACACCGACACCCACCCACACGCACACGCACGCGCACGCGCGCGCATGCACGCATGCGCGCATGCTCGCATGCGCGCATGCGCGCACGCACGCACGCACGCATTATAATACAACCCGCAAGCTACATAAGCCCAAAACAAACCCAGAAAACCTAAACCCTCCGCACTCCAAATCTCCTCGAGACCCGAAAGCCCGACAAACCCTTATGAAGCACCCCCTAAAAGCCCCAAACCCTAAACTTTAAACCCTAAACCCTAAACCCTATACCCTAAACCCTAAACCCTAAACCCTAAACCCTAACCCAAAAGCTCCTTAAAGCAAAAAAAGCTTGAGATTCCTGTCAGGAGTAGCGAAGGATCGCCCGGCGTAAGGCCGAGCCCAGTGCCGGACACCAAGCATGAGTCCATCATGCAGGCGGGTTTAGGGTTTAGGGTTTAGGGTTTAGGGTTTAGGGCTAGGGTTTAGGGCTAGGGTTTAGGGTTTCGGGTTTATAGCTGCCCATGCCATGAGGGGGGGAAGTGTGGTCTCAAATTGTTGAAGCCATCTTTGGGGCATCCGGGTAGTTCTTCGGATGAGACTCCTCTTGAAAAGTCTTTCAGCTTATTGGAGACATTGAAAGAAGTGGAGCACCCTAAACCCTAAACCCTAAACCCTAGACCCTAAACTTAGCTTCAGAAAAATCCGTCCCCCCCAAATGGGATAGCAAACGTGAGGCACCACGTCAGGGTCTCATGTTCTCAGAATGCTTTCTTTCAAGGAGGTTAGTGCGATATTGGCTTGAGGGAGCTGAAACTCATAAGTTCCTTCAAGCGTTCTTATTGTTTGATATGTTTTTTTTGGGCTTTGTGTGCTTGTTTTCAATAAAAGTCTGCTCAGCTTGTAATTATTTGCTGAAGAACCACCAAAAAAATCAAGTATCATAACAAAATAAAAACGATAATAAAAACGATAATAATAAAACAGAAATGTCTTCTTCCTAATACGGGTAATATTTGGATTATTATTTCGTTCTTCTTTTTTTTTGTGTGGGGCGGGGGGGGGGGGGTTCTTCAGCAATAAGTTTCAACAAAAAGCCAGGGTTAGACACTTCAATCCTCAAAGCCCCTAAACGCGCAAAAGGAACCCTCGACCTGTAAATCGGGTCCTAAAATCCGAGAAGCCCCAATGAACTCTGAAACCCAACCCAATCAACTCTGAAACCCAACCGAAAAGCGCGCCGGCCCGAAACACACTTTCTGTTTAGGGTTCAGGGTTGGGTTTTGGGGTTTGGGGTTTTAGTTTTAGGGTTTAGGATTTAGGGTTTAGGGTCGCCAATCCCCTAAACCCCCTAAACCCCGACTCCTATAGATACCCCGCAGTGCGTGGCTAGGCGGGTGACCAACAACGATCCCAAAGCCTAAGCCCGGACAAACCCTAAACCCTCCAAATCGCCCTTAATTCCCCGAATGCCCTGAACTCCTAAATCCCCCAACTCCCTCAAATCCTACTATCCTAGGTAGGATAAGGGGGACCCTTAAAAGGGAACCCCTTCTGAACCCTCTTCTGGCTCTTTTAAGCAGGGACCTTATTCAGAGGGTCTATATCCCCAAGGGTCCCCCTTATCCTATCCCCTATCCTAATCCGCAACCCTTAACCCTGAACTCGAACCCGCCTGAGGTTTGACCCCCCGAATCTTTCTCCGGCTCCTGAAATAGCGAAAGCCAGGGAGGCAGGCTAAACCCTAAACCCTACAAGGAGGGGGCCCCCCAAGTTATATGTGAAGTTAGAAGGACCCTAAATTTGGTTTTAAGGATCCGAAGGCTCTAAATCCCTTAGCTATAGTTAGTACAGTAAGGGTGCCCCTCCTTGTAAACCCTAAACCCGAGGTTTTCAATAGGCTGCGAGACTGCACAAGTGCCTTCCATTAATGCGCGTACGCAGGAATTCGTGCATGCCCAGATGATGACCATTCTGCAGTGACTTGGTTAACTGAGTAGCTGAGTAGGCAACCTTTAACCTTTTGGGGTATATATAAGGGTTTAGGGTTTAGGGTTCAGGGTTAATCCTACCATAATTGAAAGGTTAACCTTTTTTGGCCCAGGGTACTTAGCAACTAGGTTAACGGTTCATTGTTCAAGCGTCTTGTGCTGGTCAAACCCTGGGTAAACCCTAAACCCAAAATGGGGCGCAGGGGACTACATGAACCCCGAAATGGGGAGCATAAGAGTAGTACTGTATATTAGGGTCCCTTTTAAGGATACCGTGCTTTTTAAGGGATCCAAAGAAACCTTGATTTAGAGAACTAGCCACATGTGTAGACATATATGTATATACTTTTATAGCTTCAGGCATACGAACCTGTCAGGATGCACTTAGTCCCAAGGAATGTGCTTAGATACCGGCTTCCGTTTGCGTTGCGAGGCAAGCAACTTCGGCAACTCTTTTGACTTTGTGCTTATCCGGCTTGACCCTTCGTGGGGAGTAGCAGCACCCCTTTGCAATGTGGGGTTTAGAACAATGATTGAAGAGCTTTGCGCGTAAGGGTTGAGGATTTCGGGGTCAATTCAACCACATTCAACCCTAGGGCACGTAAAAGGGAATTCCGGCACCCCCCCCCCCCCCCATTTTGGGCAAATGCCCAATGTCTCAAAGCGAAGAGTCTCTAACCTGGTGCCACATCCAACGACTTTTCAAGCCCCGCCCTGAATCCTGGGCCTCGAAAGCCCGTAACCAGAGGCTAAGCCTCACCAAAGCCTAAAGCCCCGCTTAGGAATTATCATTTGTTGTTGTTTATACAAAACCCAAGGGAGTAATCAGAAAGTGACCTTCATTGAGATTCTAAGGGGACAATAGAGAACTTAGGAGTTTTCTTTATACAAAATTCAAGGGAATCTTTGAAGAAAAGAGATGTTTATTCAGGTTTTGAGGGGAGTGTAGAAAACCAGGACCCAGAGCACCGCCCTTGTTCCCCATGTTCAGGGTTTTGGGTTTCCCTTTTAGGCCCCTTCCGTGAATCAAAAAGGGGCGCCGGTGCTGATTCCTAGCTTGCTCTTCAGGATGGGCTATTAGGCCCTATATAATCCCCACAATCAACCATATATATATATATATATATATATATTTATATATATATATATATATTTATTATTATTATTAATATTATGATTATTATATATATATACATATATATATATATATGTTTTTTTTTTTTTTTTTTAAGGGGTTTAGGGTTTTTAAGGGGTTATAGGGTATAATAGCCCGTCCTGGCTTGTCTTTTAGTCTACAAGAAACCTACATCGAGAAGGGTACCAAGTGGAACCTTCCAAAGCCCTACGCCAGGGTTTAGGGTTTAGGGTTTTGGGTTTTGGGTTTTGGGTTTAGGGTTTAGGGTTTAGGGCTCAAAGTTAATAAGCGATTTGAACTCTCCTAAACCCTAAGCCCTAGACCCTATCCCTAATCCCGAGACCCTAGACCCTAAACCCTAAACCCTAAACCTTAAACCCTAAACCCTAAACCCTAAACCAACCCTAAACCCTAAACCCTAAACCAACCCTAAAGCCTAAACCCTAAACCCTAAACCCTAAACCCTAAACCCTAAACCCCAAACCCCAAACCCCAAACCCCAAACCCCAAACCCTAAACCCTAAACCCTAAACCCTAAACCCTAAACCCTAAACCCTAAACCCTAAACCCTAAACCCTAAACCCTAAACCCTAAACCCTAAACCCTACCCAAGACCCAGGCCCTTCGTCGATCAGCTGGAACTTCTCAGCGACGGGCTGAGCGTGGTCACCGCCCAGACAGCTGACGTACAGGTTGAGGCCACCGATGGGGAGGGGCTAAAAAGAAGCCGCCCTAAACCCTAATCCCAAACCCTAAACCCTAAACCCTAAACCCTAAACCCTAAACCCTAAACCCTAAACCCTAAACCCTAAACCCTAAACCCTAAACCCTAAACCCTAAACCCTAAACCTTGCTTGGCATTTCGGCCAGCTATGCGGGAGCGATAAAAAAAAACACTAAACCCTCGAAAGCCGAGTTGAGGTCAAGGGGCTGATGAGGACAAGAGTCGGGGGTTCAATTGGAGGGGTCTAGTTTGCAGTACGTTCCTCCCAGTTTAGGGTTTAGTGGGTTTGGTTTAGGGTGTATAGGGTTTAGGGTACCAGACAAGGGCTAGTCGCTATTTAGCGTCGGAGGGGTGAGGGTTGATGTTGGGATCAGTTCAAAGGGTTTAGGGCTTGGCCTTTGTGGGTTTCGGGCACCTAGTTGCAAGACAAGGCAAGATGGTAAGGCCTGCAGGAGTCATGGGAGGGCTCTCCCGATAGGAAATACAGCAGCGACGAATAGCTCTTAGAGGGTTCAGGAACAGGTTTCGAAGCAGCGATACCCTCGTTTCCTTCTCCCACACAAAGAAAAACGCTAAACCCCCCTAAACCCCCTAAACCTCCTGAACCCTAAAACCCCCAAACCCGGAACCCCCAAAACCCCCTAAAGCCTAAACCCCAGAAACCCCCGAAACCCTAAAGAGAGAGAGAGAGAGAGGTGTCCCAGCAGCGCGAGCAGATCGTGCAACACCAGGGCCGCCTCAATGGACTAGCCGCTCGTTTTTTTTTTTTTTGTTTCGGTTCTTTAGGGCTTTTGAGGCTTCTTGAGGGTGCTTCTTAGGGGGTTTTCAGGGTTGCTTGAGGTTTTCATAAGGTCGGGTCTTTAGGGCTTTGAAAGGGGTTTTAAGGGTTGCTTGAGTGTCGGTTAAGGCCTGTTTGGGTGGCATTTTTTGATTTTTAGGGTTATTCCAGGAAACTCCTGGCCAGGGACCCGGGGAAACTTCGGGAAGCTTAGGAAGCCCTAGCAGTGGGGAGTACTAGGGAACTTGGGTTAAAAGTTACGTACGCCCCCTTGAACCCCTAACCCCTAGCCCTAAACCCTAAACCCTAAACCCTAAACCCTAAACCCTAAAACCCTAAAACCCTAAAACCCTAAACCCTAACCGTAAACCCTAAACCCTAAACCCTAAACCCTAAACCCTAAACCCTAAACCCTAAACCCTAAACCCTAAACCCTAAACCCTAAACCCTAAACCCTAAACCATAAACCCTAAAACCCTAAAACCCTAAAAACCCTAAACCCTAAAACCTAAAACCTAAACCTAAACCCTAAAAACCTAAATCCTAAACCCTAAACCCTAAAAAACCTAAAACGCTAAACCCTAAACCCTAAACCCTAAACCCTAAACCCTAAACCCTTAAACCCTAAACCCTAAACCCTAAACCCTAAAACCCTAAAAACCCTAAAACTAAACCCTAACCCTAAACCTAAATCCCCCTAAAACCCTAAAACCCCTAAACGCTAAAAACCCTAACCCTAAACCCTAAACCCTAAACCCTAAACCCTAAACCCTAAACCTTTTCCCTAAACCCTACCCCCCCCCCCCCCCTGAACGGGCTCTCCCTTAGAGGACCCTGTAATCACCCTTGAGGACGCCCGAGTTGTGGAAGGCAGCTCTGCGATCCAGGAGGTGAACAAGAAGGTGGGTGTTGGTGTTTAGGGTTTAGGGTTTAGGGTTTAGGGTTTAGGGTTTAGGGTCTAGGGTCTAGGGTCTAGGGTCTAGGGTTTAGGGTTTAGGGTTTAGGGTTTAGGGTTTAGGGTTTAGGGTTTAGGGTTTAGGTTTTACGAACGGCTCAGCATCTCGAGGCGAGACTTCGCAAAGCCTCCTGCAAAAGGGTTTAGGGCCGTTTAGGGTTTAGGGTTCAGGGTTTAGGGTTTAGGGTTTAGGGTTCAGGGTTCAGGGTTGCGGGGGAGTTTAGGGTGTCCCGCTGTGAAGGGCGAACCCCCATGGCCCATTTTCAAACGCGACAGAATTTGTCATTTTATTTTGCTCCTAGGTCTGCTGAATGCTTCAGTTGTGGAGGCTTTGCAGGGTTTATTCTGGTACCTAAGCCCTAAACCCTAAACCCTAAACCGTGGAACCCCTGTCCCTCCACCGAACCAAATTGTGGCTGTGCACTCAAGCGTTTCGGGGCATCCCAGCTCCAGACGACAGGCCTTGAATCCTAAACGTTTAGGGTTTAGGGTTTAGGGTTTGGGGTTTAGGGTGTAGGGTTTAGGGTTTAGGGTTTAGGGGAATCTAACCAGTGCTGGGTACGAGGTGTAGGCTTGGGGCGCCTTGAGCGAGATCCCTACACCCTAAACCCTAAACCTTCAACCCACACACAGCCTCCGCCCTTCTTCATTTGCAGGTGAACGCCCTGGTGGCGCAAACTGCTCCTTGGCACGAAGTGGTCCTAAGCTCTAAACCCTAAACCCTGAACCCTAAACCCTAAACCCTGAACCCTGAACCCTAAACCCTAAACCCTAGAAGGTAGATGTACATATATATATATATATATGAGCCCGGAACCTTTAGGGTTTATTTAGCATAGAGTTTTTCTTTTCGCTTTAAATACGGAATATAAACAATTTAGTATGTAAGTGTATATTTATACTTTTGTAGGAACCATAAGTTCTACTTGAGAGTCAACTTCGCCTTGTGTCTGTGGATACCATTACTGTTGATGCTTGTGTTTTAGACAAGTCGCACATCTAACTTATTTATCCGTTTGGATGCAACAAAACGATCAACCCTCCACACCGGTGTTGCATATCTTAAATGCACTTGTTTTCTGCAGCTTTCTTTGTTTTCATCTGCGGCTTGTTCACTTATTAGTGTTTGTGATCTTTATAATGCTGATGCGATGGCAATAGTATGCTTACTGGTGTTCCTAGCATTGGAAGCACAACTAACATTATGAACATATTATGACTTATGTGAGTACTATTGGTAATGTTCGCAATATAAGTACTAGTCCTAGCGCGAGCTGTCAATATAAGCAAAAAGCATGGCGTGTTGTGCGGAACATTCGAAGTCGAGGATTACTTGTGCTAAGCATAAGTTTGACACATCTTATGCTCCCAATTTGACAGTTCGTGACTTCAATATCACCAAATAACATTGCAGTGCGTTGGCAGGATTGCTAATGAACACTAACATCACGACAATCCTAATCATCCTAATCTTGCTGGTAGTGCATATGTCTTTTGACAAGTCTACTACGAAACTGCACTATCTGTCGAGATTAGCCATATGACTAGTGCGAGTACTATTAATGTTCCACACTCTTTAGTAGGGGCCTCCTGAACAAAGTCAAAAATGGCCGGGCTGTTCAGGACACTCCGAGTGTTTGGGTTTGGGGGCGCGCGTTGGGATCCTGAATAAAGGCAAACCGTCCGGGCGCCGTAAGAAAATTCCACGCGGCGCGCCTTTAAAGGATTGCTGGGCATCGCTGCCCTGTAAACTTATCCTAACTCCTCTCTAATAAATTCATATATATCCCGTGGACAGTGTAAACAGGAACAAGAAAGGGGGAGGGGGGCAGGTCTAAAGAGGGTGCAACATCAGTGTTGTGAGCAATGTTTTTTAGCCCACCACTGGGAAACTCAACAATGTCACTAACAATAGTACCATAGCGTCATTAGCCCCTGTGGCATGATTAGTCCGATAAGATTATAATATGAGATCAATTAGTAATATGATTAATGCGAGTAACATGAGTGCTAGCAAGCCTAATACAATTTATGACACTAGTAAGCTTGGTAATGTTGTAACTGGAATTGCAATTTCTTGTCATTTACTTTTAGTTATGCTATTGATCATGCTAGTAAGCTAATACGCCTACTATACCGAACATTGCTGAATATAATACTAGTATCACGCTACTGATATTAGTAGTATTGGGACCATTCCTATAAACATGAAGAAAGGTTTACTTCTTGAGCTGCATTTTAGCTGCAGGATGGTTTGCGGTTAGTACTCCAGTGACTCTTTGGGCATAGTTTGGTCTTGTGCGCTCTAGGGACTTTACGAGGATACTCTACGGCTGCGCGCTTCAGCGATTCTGGAATACTCTAGCACAAGCCTTCCAGGGCTTTTCCGGTGATCCTTTCGGCTTATTTTGGAAGACTTTGGGTTTTGGTATTCTAGAGACTCTTTCGGGCAACCGTGCAAACCAATGAGTGATTTAGAAACCAAGTAAACTCATAATTTTTCTAGAAGTACGTGGTGCAGGGAACTTTGTGGCCCACGCCGCAGAGCGATAGTGATAACAGCAAGAAATCACTCGGGGGCTCTCTATGACATCAATGAGTGTTGTAGGAGCCAAGTAAATTTCGTCACACAAACACATGGTGTAGGTCATTTGTTGACCGACACCACATAGGAACAGTGAGAAGACTATGAAATAACTAGGCCACCGTATATTAAATCAGTATGTGGTGTGGAACCAGGTAAATTTACGAGCACATGGTGTAGGGAATGCTGTGGCATACGCCACATAGGGATAGTAGAAAAACTCAAGAAATCACTGGGAAACTGTATATGATATCAATGAGTGTTGCGAGAACCAAGTACATATTTTTATACAAGCACATGGTGTAGGGAGCGTTGTGACCCACAATACGTAGGAACTGAATCACTGGGCAACCGTACATTAAATCAATAGGAACTAAGTAGTTTTGCTTGTGCAAGCAAAGAACAATGAGAAAACCATTTAGTCACCAGGCAACGGTATAAAGTAATGAATCCGCATAACAATATCACCATGTTTACTGTTCATATCAATAGCGTTCTTAGCAGTGCTGGCATTGCTCATGTTCATTATATTTTGTGTTAGCGCGATCCGAAAGCAAGGCCCTTGCAAGGACGCTGTGACTTTTCCTCGATACCATACGAGTACTATGCTGATACTACACGAATACTTTACCGCTGCCAGACTAGGTACCAGCACCAAGACCAAGACCAATAATAGTACTAACACGAATGCTAAAACTACAAGAAACTCTATACTACACTACACTATACAAACTAGCCGGGACATAGCCGGGACTTTTGGGGTCTCTTTCGTTGCGTTTGTTTCATTCCTATCAAACGCTCGTATATGTATATTGTCAAAAAACTTTAAAGATGCACATGCCGAATAATCCGACGTCCTATTTTATCTTGTCTTTTGGACTTGCATTGTTGTTTTTGGCTTTCGCTTTGCTTTGCTTTCTTTGCGTGCTGCTTGCCTACATTTAAAATGCGGTTTGCTCATGGATCCATGACACGAGCAAAAAATCCTACACTGCTATTCTGAAAACGAATTCGTGGTTTTGTGGTCATGATAACTGTTCACGTTGCTGTTCTTGCACGCTGCTTGCCTATGTCTTTTCGAACTTGTGTTCTTCATTTATCTATAACACTTGGATCGATGAGGGGCGCTGGCAAGCTAAACAGCGAAAACACTCCGCCCGAGTTTCATTTCATGGGTTCGCGTTGCAGCTTCAGACTTTTACCCATTCGTGCCAACCCACAGCCGAAAACACCCAGCACCTAGCCCTCCAGCATTAAACAAAACACATGAGCGAAATGGACCGAGAGGCTGCTCGTTCATATATATATATATATAATGTTTTTACTTCCTAGTCTATATGTGCTCAATTACGTAATTTCATTGAGACAGTAGCGCACGTGCCTTTGCCATTTGACATTTTGGATAGGTTCTTACAACAAAACATTTGTGGACTCTGCTTGCGACTTGTCAATTGTTGATATATTCCGTAGCAACTAACGGGGACACTGCTGGCGATCTGTGATTTTGGGACATCTTCTTTCAACAAAAAAACTACGGGGGACACTGCTTGCGATTTGTGAATTCAGAAGAAAACTAAGGGGGGACACTGCTTGCGATTTGTGATTTTGGCATATATACTTTCAGGATTAAACTTATTGGGGACACTGCTTGCGATTTGTGATTTTGGGACATCTTCTTACAGCATAAAAACTAAGGGGGACACTGCTTGCGATTTATGAGTTTGGATAGTTCTTCATTCAGCAAAAAACTATGGGGAACACGGCTTGCGATTTGTGATTTTAGCACATACTCTTTCAGCAAGAAAACTGAGGGTGACACTGTTTGCGATTTAGGAGTTTGGATAGTTCTTCATTCAGCAAAAACTATTGGGGACATCGCTTGCGATTTGTGTTTTTGGAATTCTTTCAACAAAATCTCATGGGGACGTATCCATTACATTCCGTAACAAACTAAGGGGGACACTACTTGCGATTTGTGATTGTGGGACATCCTCTTCTTGCAGCAAAAACAAACTAAGGGGGACACTGCTTGCGATTTGTAACTTTGGAGAATACTCCTTCAAAAAAAACTATATATGGGGGACACTGCTTGCGATTTGTGATTTTGGGACATCTTCTTTCAGGGGACACTGCTTGCCATTTGCGAGTTTGGCACATACTCTTGTAGAAAAAACTAAGAGGGACACTGCTTGCGACTTGGTTTTGGTACATAGGCTTAGAGGAAAAATATGGGGCACGCCGGGCACACTGCTTGCGATTTGTGACTTGGGACCATTTTCCTTACAGCAAAAAAATAAGGGTGACACTGCTTGCGATTTGTGAATTTGGGATATATTCTTTCAGCAAAAAGGACTATGGGTGGACACTGCTTGGGATTTGTGATTTGGGGGGCATCTTCTTGCAGCAACAAAAACTAAGCGGGGACCCTGCTTGCGATTTGTGATTTTGGGACATCTTCTTTCAGCAAAAACCAAGGGGGACACTGCTTGCGGTTTTTGATTTTGGGGCATCTTCTTGCAGCAAAAAAATTAGGGGGACACTGCTTGCGATTTAGGAGTTTGGATAGTTCTTCATTCAGCAAAAAACTATGGGGGACGCTGCTTGCGATTTGTGATTTTGGAATTCTATCAACAAATTCTCATGGGGACACTGCTTGCGATTGCTCAATGTCCATTCCGTAACAAACTAAGGGGAACACTGCTTGCGACTTGTGATTGTGGGACATCCTCTTCTTGCAGCAAAAGAAACTAAGGGGGACACTGCTTGCGATATGTAACTTTGCAGAATACGCTTTCAACAAAAACTATGGGGGACACTGCTTGCGATTTGGGGTTTTGGGACATCTTCTCTCAGGGGACACTGCTTGCCATGTGCGAGTTTGGCACTCTTGTAGAAAAAGCTAAGGGGGACACTGCTTGCGATTTGGCAATTCGGTACACAATCTTACAGGAAAAACATGGGGCACACTGCTTGCGATTTGTGACTTGGGAGCATATTCTTACAGCAAAAGAACTAAGGGTGACACTGCTTGCGATTTGTGAATTTTGGATATATTCTTTCAGCAAAAAGGACTATGGGTGGACACTGCTTGCGATTTGTGTTCTTGGTACATATTCTTTCAACAAAAAAATACGGGGGACACTGCTTGCGATTTGCGATTTTGGCACATACTCTTGTAGAAACATCTAAGGGCGGACACTGCTTGTGATTGTGAACTTGGTACATAATCGCAAAAAAAAACTACGGGGAACACTTCTTGCGATTTATGAATTTTGTAGATAATCTTACAGCAACATCTTATGGGGACCCTGCTTGCGATTTGTGATTTTGGATATTTGCGCGCAACAACAACGCATAGGGACACTGCTTGCGATTTATGAGTTCGGAGAAGGCTGTTTCGACAAAAACTACGGGGGACACTGCTTGCGATTTGTGACTTTAGTGCATGGACATTTGGGAATTTCGGGTTTCAGGCTTCGAAGTTGTCTTGCCGAAAGCCTGGAGAGTCCCCCTGTTGAGGACCGAGTGGGGGTGGCCGCGACAAGCAAGACCTGGAACCCTCACAGCTTCTTGAAATTTACGAACACTTACCCCCCGATAAGCAAGACTTAGAACCACCCCACATACGCAGCCTTTAAGGGCTTAAGGGGGTTTGAAATTCAGGGTTACATATATATTTGCTTCTTGAAACTTACGAACACTTACCCCCCGATAAGCAAGACTTAGAACCACCCCACATACGCAGCCTTTAAGGGTTT